GCCTTCAGAGAGGTAATGTGAGGTTTCCAGGATAACCTAGATCAAAGAGGAGGCCCAGAAACTTGACTGTATCACGTTCAGGGATACGGGAGCCATAGAGGTACAAAGGATGATCGGAGATGACAGAGTGTCTAGTGAAAGTAATTTGGTGGGTTTTTAGTGCTGGAAAATTTAAACCCACGTGTGGTGGCCCAATTGGAAACACGGTCGACTGCATGTTGGAGAGAAACTGTAAGGAGGTGACAGTCAGCGCCTGCACAGGCAATAGCGAAGTCATCAACATAGAGTGATGACCAAATATTTGATGGAAGACTAGAAGCCAAATCATTAATAGCAAGGAGAAAAAGTGTTGTGCTCAGAACACATCCCTGGGGGGACACCTTCAGCTTGGATAAAGTCCGGGGAGAGCACATTATTAACCCGAACACGGAAATGCCTGTCAGTTAAAAAGTTCTTAAGGAAGGATGGTAGATTGCCTCGAAGGCCTAAGGAGTGGGCTTGGGCTAAAATATTATACCTCCAAGTTGTGTCATATGCCTTCTCAAGGTCAAAAAATATGGCAATAACTGAGTGGTTATTCGCAAAGGCATTACGAACATACGTATCCAAGCGTAGTAAGGGGTCTATGGTAGAACGTCCCTTACGAAAGCCATATTGACGAGTGGAGAGACTGTTGTGTGTCTCTAAATACCACACTAAACGTCTATTTACTAGGCGTTCCATCACTTTGCAAACTGCACTGGTAAGAGCAATGGGACGATAGTGGGAGGTTTCATGTCCCGTAGTGCCTGGTTTGCGGAAAGGGAGAACAATGGCGGATTTCCACACCTGTGGAAGAACTCCTTGTGACCAAATAAGATTGTAAAGCTGTAATAGGACTGCAAGGGCTGACTGATGTAAATGTTGTAGCATACGAATATGAATACCATCAGGCCCAGCTGCCGATGATCGGCAAGCTGAGAGCGTTGCCTCCAGTTCTTGAAGTGTAAAAGGCACATTATACTGTTCTTCTCTGAGAGAAGAAAAGTCCAAGGGTGCTAACTCTCTGGCAGACTTTGAGGAAAGAAATGAGGGGCATAGATGGACTCCCTGAGAAATACAGACCAGATGATTGCCAATTTCACTGGCAACATCTAGTGGGTTTGCTATATCAACACCGGCAACCTGCAGAACAGGAGCCGGGTCAGGAGAATATTTACCACTCAGTTTTCGTACTTTTTTCCAGACTGCACTCATAGAGGAAGCAGAGGTGATGGTGGAGACGTAATCTCCCCAGCAAGTGCGTTTAGCGTCACGGATGACACGGCGAGCGATTGCACGCTTCTGCTTAAAATCAAGAAGTCTCTCTGTGGTTCTATTGTACCGGTACCTGCCCCATGCAGCGCGTTTCAAACGTACTGCACGAGCACAAGCAGGAGACTACCAAGGCACGTATTTCTGAGAATGCCTGCCCGAAGTTTGGGGTATAGAATGAGAAGCTGCGGTTAAAACGGAGGACGAGAAGAGGTGTAAAAGCTCATCGATGGAGGACGAAGAAGGAACCTCTCTAAAAACAGTTAGGTGTGAGTAAAGGTTCCAATTTGCCTGATCAAATTGCCAGCGTGGGATGCGAAGAGGTGGTGAATATGAAGGGGAAGTAAGAATGATTGGGAAATGATCGCTGTCATGTAAGTCCGGAAGAACAGACCAAGTGAAGTCTAATGCGGCGGAGGAAGAGCAGACTGAGAGATCGATGCAAGAGAGAGTGTGAGTCCGAGGATCAAAATGGGTGTGAGTACCTGTATTTAAAACATGGAGGGGGTGGGTGGCAAGAAAAGCCTCTAACTGAATGCCACGGGAATCACAGTGAGACCCCCCCAGAGGAAATGGTGGGCATTAAAATCACCAAGTAACAGAATCGGTGGTGGTAATGACGAAACAACAAAGGCAATATCCGGAATAGATAATGCCCGAGAAGGAGAGAGATATAAAGAACAGAGCGTATACCACCTATGCAAGTGGATACGGGCTGCTGTGTAATGCAGCGAAGTACGAACAAATAGCTGATGGTACAGAATATCAGTGCGTAGAAGAAGGGCACTTTCATTAAAGGTCCCATCAGGAAAAGGATCTGAAGAATACAATAAATTATAGTCTGAGATGGGAGAGATAACAGCAGAGTGTAATTTTGGTTCCTGTAAGCAAACACCAACGGGAAAACTGGGAGAGTAACATCTGAAGCTCACCCCGATTACCCCTGAGGCCGCGTATATTCCACTGTAAATAGGCCATGATTGGCAATGATAAAGATACCTGAAATCCGCAGGTAAGGGTTTCTACGGACTAGAGGGGTTAGAAAAGTCCACATGCAGAGGCAGTGGAAAACGTTCAAGCAGCGAAGGAACGGTGCGCTGTGAAGAAAGGAGTTGCGCAGATGGAGTAGAGGAGAGAGAAGGAGCGGAGGGTGGATCAGTGTCCATTGATGGTTTGGTCTCTGCAATATATTCAGAGATTGCTTCAAGTGTTTCGGAATTCAGAGACGTCGTATGGGAGACAATATTGGAAATGGTAGGGGAAGGATGAGTAAAGATTGGAACTGTAATGGACTGTACCAAGGTAGGGGGGGGGGGGCAAAAGGGTGGAGGAACTGGAGAAGCATGGAAGGGGACAGAAGAGGCAGAACCTGGGAGGTGGCAGAAGAGGAAGAAACTTGGGAGGGAACAGGGGAGGAAAGTACAGTACGAGGAGGAGGGTGAACCTCTACACTTGTAACAGAGCCAGTGAGAGGGGGAGAACCAGGTACAGAGACAGGGAAGGGAAAATGAGGAGGTGGAAGATGGGTAGGTGTTAACGGACCTTTTTTTGACTTTTGAGAAGTAGAGGGATGATTGGGAGGAGGTGTCATACGAGATCTCGTCGCTACTGAGGCTTGTGAGAGAGAACACGAAGAAGCAAGATCAGACTGAGACGTTGAAGTAGGGACGTCTGAGCCGAGGACAGCAAAAGGGAATTAGCTACAGGAGTGACTATGGGAGAGGTAACCACAGAGGTGGGTGCAGAAGATGGGATACCAGAAGTGGGGGGACGTTTTGAAACACGGGAATAAGAAACACGAGGTAGTCTCCCTTGGAGGCGGAGATGAGAAACTGCCATGGCATAAGGGAGACCTTCTGCCTCTTTGAGGTAATGGATTTCCCGCTCGTTTAAGTAGACCTGACAACGGCGAGAGTATGAAGGGTGAGCCTCATGACAATTAAGGCAAGAGGGAGGTCGATTGCAAGACGTATTAGAATGGTCATCGGCACCACAGACTGGGCATTCGGCGATAGATCTGCAATATTTCGCTGGATGGCCAAATCGCCAGCAATTTCTACACTGTTGCAGTGTAGGGATCACCTTTCGAACTTGTAACCGATGTCCTGCTACATAAACTGAGGATGGGAGTTCACGGCTGTCAAAAGTTAAACGAGCCACATTGCTAGGGTATCGTCTCCGCCCGCGGGCAGGAAGAACGTAAGTGTCTACCTTGAGGATTGGGAGATCTTGGAGTTCCAGCTGTTCAAGAATGTCAGTGCCACATGTCTGGAAATTTTGTTGAACTATGGTATGGGGCAGAATGACGGTACCACTACAAGAATTGAGGGAATGATGCTTTTCAATAGTTACAGGAACAGTATCGATATGGGAAAGACAAGAAAGCTCATGAGCCTGGGTAGCATTCTGTACAGTGACGATGCGCGTACCGCTCTTAAGAGCATGAAAAGAAATATCTTTACCAACATGGCGTAGGAGTGCCTTGCCAATACTGTGGTCAGAAAGATAGGCAGTAGAGGAAGTCGGTCGTAAAGTAAAGAATTTAGTGCATTGTGCAGTCTGAAACTGAGCGTGGAAAGGTAGTGAAGGACGTGTCGATCTTTTCTAAGAAGAACGAGAAGGTGGAGAAGTATCATCAGCAGGTAATTGTCGTTGGCGTTTAGGCGTGGGACCAGAGTTGGTCCGAAGTGGAACGGGCCGGCGATTTGAAAATTGCCGCACCGTAGAGGGAGGGGCCAGAAGCATAGTCAGAGGAGAGCGAAGGTCAGATAAATCGAAGGAGTCAGTCGAGGCCTCAGTACCTGAAGTGGGTGAGGAAACAGCACCGGCAAGAGGTACAGAGGCATGAGGAGTGTCCGAAGAGTGGTCCAAAGACGAGGCGGGGTCAGAACGGGGTGTGGTATCAAGAAGGGGCCCGGGGGTAGCAGGTTCATGGACTAGGGCTGCCATGGTTAGGTTACTTCATTCTTTTTGTTTTTAAGAAAAAAAAAAGAAATAAAGAAGAAAAGAAAATAAAAATAAAAAAAAAAAGAATAAAAAAAAGGGGGGACTGGGAAGGGATAGTTCCTAGGAGGAATGAAAGGGCCAGAAATCTCCCTCCGCGCCCAAGAGGACCTCAGCACCGCAAGTAGCGCAGATGCAGCATGGAACCCGTGCCATACCCTACCCGTCATGCCAGTAAACCGGCAATCCGGGATAGCAACCTCACATCTGCCGAGCTACCTCGGTGGACAAAAGAGAGGGCGGCCGGAAATCCGCCACAAAGCATACCTCCTTCGGCCACCACCCCCGGAATCCGAAAGGTGGCTTCCAGAGATACACCCGTCGCCCGAGAGACACCCAAAGCCACCCTCCGGGATACCGGAGAGGGATCAGAACATCCCCAGGCAATCCAGATTCCACTGCAAACTACGCCACCACCAAGAACCTCAACGGAATGGGATGGACCCCGTACTCTTTCCCCTACCTAGGAACTAGCGTGCCTGTGGGGGGGGAAAAAAAAAAAAAAGGCCAAAAAGGAAGGGCAAAAGGGAGGGGTGGGGAGGAGGAGGAGGAAAGGAAAAAGGGGAGGATGGGATAGGGAACGGGGGATTGGAGGGTAATTAGGTTCGGTCTGAGGAAGTAGACCGACAGGTCTAATTCCTCAGACCAAGAGCCTTCACCACGCCAAGGAGCCCCCTTGAAGAGGCCTTTTGTAATATTATATGCTCTAATAAAGTTTTTTTTTTTATTCTACAGGTATTACTTATTTGCTCATATTGCACATGTTAAGTGTCCATAACAAGGCTTTTGCATGTAATGTATGCCTTTTATTACATACTGTAGTTTTTAAGTATTAAGGAAAAGTATATAAATATTATATAATGTCTTTCCATGCAGTTATAAAAATGCTAAGAATATTAATCAGTATACTTACAGTAAGCTAAAGAAAATGGTGAGAAAGTAAGACTAAGAAAAGGAGCAATAACTAATAAGACTGCTTGCCATGAGTAAGAAATGTAACTAGCAAACCAAATACTTTTGTTATTTGTAGCTTCTATCTGGTAACTGGGAGTAAAACCTTTTGTCTGATAATTGTAGAATGGTGCGCTTGTAAAGATAATAATGGAGGCCACCAACTGAAAGATAAGGATAAATTACAGTTATAAATACAGTATTAATTAGTTAAATAGTTGGACAAATACGTAATATACACATTTTGATGGGGGGGGGGGAAGGTGAAATCAGCATAAAACCACTTCTATCAATTATTATAATCAAAAAGAAGCACTAAACCTACAAGGGTCATACAGTGCAGCAGGGCAGAGAAGGATGCAAGGTATTAGGTAGCAAGAGAGGGATAATTATTAGGGCACGGAGTGCAGCGGAACAGTGGATAGTGCAGCGATAGAGGGTAGCAAGAGATTGAGGTAGAAACGGCTGTGAAGAATGCTAGACTTATCATCATCAGGGTTTGTGCAGTAAATCAGTTGCTGTCCAAAAGTCAATGAGAGAGTCTGGGTTAAAGGAGGGTCCATCAGCAAGAAGGGAAGGTAAAGTAAGGGCAGTAGATTATTATTATTATTATAATCAAAAAGAAGCGCTAAGCCACAAGGACTATACAGCGCTGCAGGGCAGGAAGGAAGCGAGGGCATCAGGTGGCAAAAGGGAGATGGATGAGTAATAGGTTACGGATAACAGCTGGGCAGTGGATGGTGAAAGGGTAAAGGGCAGCAAGAGACTGAACTAGAAAGGGCTGAGGGGAGTGCGAAAGGTATCATCATCAGAGTTTGTGGAGTAAATCAGTCGTTGTCAAGAAGTCAATGAGAGAGTCAGGATTAAAGGAGGGTCCATCAGCAAGAAGGGAAGGTAAAGAGAGAGTAGTAGAACGAAGACGACGTTGGAGGTAAATTCTGCTTGCTCGTTGATAGAGAGGGCAGTCTAACAGAATGTGGCTAATCGATACTGGAACTTGACACTGCTCACAGAGAGGAACAGGGTGCCTCTCCATGAGATACCCATGAGTAAGACGAGTGTGGCCAATGCGAAGGCGGGAGAGAGTGGTTCTCCAACCTCGGCACTGATGACAAGAAGACGGCCAGTAACCTATGCTCGGTTTAATAGAATGAAGTTTGTTACCAAGCAGAGTTGACCAACGTTGTTGCCAACGGGTGTGAAGGTGGGTAGTTATTGCAGCAAAATAGTCAAAAATGGAACACCTCTATAGGAAATTGGTAGGTCATGTACTGCTGACCGCACAGCATTTGTCCCCCGTGTTAATTGCCCTGTACGTCGACATAAACCGGGGACCCAAAAAAAAATAATATCTTTATCTTGGTAGAGATACCGTACCAAATTTGGGGATATGGAGAACTAGGGGGGAAAAAGGGTAAAAATTTTTCGTGCCCCCGAAAGAGCACTAAGGGGGGTCTGAGACACCACAAAGGATGACCCCAGGAAATTAGATCCGATATAAAAATTAATTTCTGCAAGAATGGCCAACACAATTGGGCCAGAAAAAAATGCAAGCCGATAGATAGTAAATGCCCCCCCACGACCTTTTCCGGGAAACACTGCTGCGAATCCACCCGGGCTGAAAAACTTAGGCCATCTGTGAAACACACATGGCATGAAAATGGGATAGAATGATCGAAAAAAAGAGAGGGGGAAGCCACCAAAGGCATTAAAGCTTTCGAGCAAGGGGGGAAAGAAAGAACAGACCCGAAACCGGGAAAAATTTCCCCAGGGGGGTAGGGAAAAGTGAGTTTCCACATGAACATATAAAGAGGGTAACTAAAAGGGAAGAAAGGGGGGGGAATGAAAAGGCAAGAAAAAAGGGGACGGAGCAAACGGGGAAAACAAAACAATAAAGAATGTCTACAAAATATCGGTCCCAATCATAAATGAAGGGAAATTGTGGAGATCGTGAGAGCGTACATATTTGTGAAGGCAATGGGCTCACGGCAACAGACAAGGGGTGGAACATTCGCTTCGCATAGAGGCTCCTTTAACCCGGGGAAGAGCGAAAAGCAAACCCAAGCACAAACTTTAAACCCTTGGGGATGGATGGGGTTAAGGCTAGAGAGAGTAGCAGGGAGGGGGCCGCTGAAAAAATCTGGTCACCATAAAACGAGTTTTGATAAAACGAGGCGAATGTAAAGGGGAAGCAAAATTTTGCGTCAGCCCCCCGGAAAGATGAGCAAGGGTTTTTAAAAAGGTTTTTGCGGGGTGACAAATTACCTTCAGAGAGGAAAAGTGAGGGTTTTTCCCGGGTAAACCCACGGGCCCAAAAAAAGGGCCCAGAAACCTGACTGTTCACGTTTTTTGGGGGGTACGGGAGCCCTAGAACCCTACAAAGGGGAACGGAGATGAAAAGAGCGTCTATTTAAAGTAATTGGGGAATTTTTTGGGATGGGAAAAATTTTAAAAAAATGCGTGGGGGCCCAAGTAGAAACACGGTCGACCGCAAAGCTGGGAGAAAAAGCAAAGATTTACATCCCGCGCCTGCACAAGCAAACGAAGTCATCAAAATAGAGGGTTTTTTATGACCCCAAAAATTGGGTGGAAGAACCCAAAAGGGCCCAAAACATTTTTAGCAAGGAGAAAAAAAAGTTGGTTTTTGCTTAGAACACATCCCTGAGGGGCACCTTCAGCTTGGGACGGGAAATCCGGGGGAAAAAACATTATTGAAATCGAAAAAACGGGGAAAATTTTTGCAGTTTTTAAAAAATTTTTAAGGAAGGGGTGGTAGATTTCCTCGGAGGCCTAAGGGGTGGCCTGGGCCCAAAAAATTTTACCTCCAAGTTGTCATATGCCCCTTTTCAAGGTCAAAAAAAAATGGCAATAAAGAGTGATTATTTTGCCAAAAAGGGATTTCAACATAACGGATCCAAGCATTTGTAAGGGGGCTTGGGAGAACGGCCCACGAAAACCAATTGACAACGGAAGACTGTTGTGGGGTCTCTAAATACCACATTGAACGTCGATTTTTCAAGCATTCCATCACTTTTCAAACTGGGACAGTAAAAGCGATGGGAAAATAGTGGGGGGGCATCATGTCCGTAGTACCCCGGGTTTTCGGGGAAAAAGAGAACAATGGGGAATTCCAAAAGATGGGGAAGAAATCCTTGTGCCCAAAAAAGACTGAAGAGGTTTTAAAAAGCAAAAGGGCTGACCCCATGTAAATTTTTGTAAACATACAAATATGAATTTTCGTCAGGCCCGCTTCCGAAAGAACGCCCAACCGAGAGCGTTGCCCCCCAGTTTTTGAAGTGTAAAAGGGAAAATTTAAATGTTCTTCTCTGAGAGAAGAAAAATCCCAAGGGGAAATAACTCCCTTTTGGGAGACTTTGAGGAAAGAAAACGAGGGTCATAGATGGATCCCCCGGGAAAAAACGGACCAGATGTGTGCCAAGTTCAATGGCAACTTCGAGGGGGTTTTGCTACATCAACACCAGCGACCCGTAGAACAGGAGCTGGGTCAGGAGGTATTAACCACTCAATTTCCTCACTTTTTTCCAGACTGCACTCATAGAAAAGCAGATTTGATGGTGGAAACAGTCCTCGCCAGCAAGTGCGCTTAGCTTAAACGATGACATGGCGAGCGATCGCAACCTTTCTACTTAAGTCAAGAAGTCTCTCAGCGTTCTTTTGTACCGTACCTGCCCCATGCACCCGCGTTTCAGACGTACTGCACGAGCACAAGCGGAGACCACCAAGGCACGCACTTCTGAGAATGCCTGCACGAGGTTTGGGGTAATAGAATAAAGCTGCGGAATAAACTGACGTCGAGAAAGAGGTGTAGGAGCTCATCAATTGGATGAAGAAGGAACCTCACTAAAAGCAGTGAGTGCGAGTAAAGATCCCAATTTGCCCGATCAAATTGCCAGCGAGGGCTACGGAAAGGGGGTGAATAGGAAGGAGAAGTAAGAATGATGGAACATGATCACTGTCAGTAAGTCCGGTAGAACAGACCAGTTGAAGTCTAGGGGCAGTGGAGGAAGAGCAGACGGATAGATCGATGCAAGAGAAGTATGAGTACGAAGATCAAAATGGGTGGGAGTACCCTATTTAAAACATGGAGGGGGTGAGAGGCGAGAAAAGCCTCCAACTGGATGCCACGTGAGTCACAATGAGACCCCCCCCAGAGGAAATGGTGGGCGTTAAAATAAACCAAGTAACAGAAGTGGTGGTGGTAAGGATGAAACAAGAAAGGCAAAGTCTGGATAGAAAATGCTCGAGAAGGAGAGAGATATAAAGAACATATTGTAAACCACTTATTCAAGTGGATACGGCTGCAGTGTAATGCAGCGAGGTATGGACAAATAGTTGACCAGTACGGAATATCTTTGCGTAAAAAGAAGGGCACTTTCATTAAAGGTCCCATCTGAAAAAGGTCCGAAGAATACAATAAATTATAGCCTAGATAGGTTGGAAAACACCGAGTGTAATTTGGTTCTTGTAAGCAAGCACCAACGGGAAAACCTGGAAAGCAACATCTGAAGCTAAACCCCGATTACCCCTGAGGCCGGGGATATTCCACTGTAAATAGGCCATAAATTGGCGATGAAGAAAAAAATACCGGGAATCCTAGGGAAAGGCACCTACGGACTAGAGGGGTTAGAAAAGTCATGTGTGGGGGGCATTGGAAGACGTTCAAGCAGCAAAGGGAACGGAGCGTTGCGAAGAATGGGGTTGTGAAGATGAGGAGAGGGAAAAGAAAGGAACAGGAATGAATCATTGTCCATTGAAGGTTTAGCTCTGCAATATATTCTGAAAGGGCTTCAAGTGTTTCTAAATTAAAAAGATGTATGGGAGACCATATTGGAGATAGAAGGGGGAGGGTGAATAAAGATTGGGACAGTAATGGACGTACCAAAGTAGAGGGGGAGGAAAGAGTGTAAGGGACTGGAGATGAAGTGTGGGGGGGGGGGGGTACAGAAGAGGCAGAAACCTGGAGGCAGCAGAAGAGGAGAAACTTGGGAGGGGATGGGGGTTGGAAGGCATAGTAAGGGAGGAGGGTGAATCTCCACACTTGTAATAGACCAGAGAGAGGGGAAGAACTAGGCACAGAGACTGGAAAGGAAAAGTGTGGAGGTGGAAAAAGGGGAAAGGGAAAGGGGGCAAAAAAGATTTAAGC